CCCCCCCCCCCCCCCCAATTTATTTCTTTAGTTGCTGAGAAGAGCCCGTGTGCCAAATACCTATGGAGGTCTCTCTTTCTACCAAAACATGTTAAAATTGTGTTCATTTTATTTCACATGCATTGGTGTTTGCCTGCAGGTACGTCTGTGTGAGGGCGTCAGATCCCTTGGAACTGGAGTTACAGACAGCTGTGAGCTGCCATGAGGGTGCTGGGAGTTGAACCTGGGTCCTCTGTAAGAACAGCCAGTGCTCTTAACCACCAAGCCATCTCTCCAGCCCTCATCCCCAACAACTTTTAACATGTATTTATACTGGCAGTTTTATGCATGATGCTTTTCCCTCCCCACTCCCTTCTCTCACCCTCTCACTCCTGGCTGGACCCCATTTTATTCCCAACAAGTCCCTTCTACTTCCAGAATTGTCTGTTTTGATTTAATTTGCTTGTTTGTTTTGTGAGCCAAGAAACAAGGTTGCTTGCATGAGAATAGGTGTGGCTCATACAATCTGGTTTGCCATTATCATTACTTTCTGGGTTTGGGGTTTTTTTGTTTTGTTTTTTAATGTTTGGTTTGGTTTTGAGACATGACCTCAGTGAATCGCCCAGGCTGGTCTTGAACTCCAGAGTCCCCCTTCTCTGTCTTCCAAGTGCTGGCATTATAGGCCTTACAACATGCCTATCTTGAGAGAGCAGTTTTTGGAACATTCTAAACATCAAGAAAAACAAAACAAAAACCTGGGGCTGGAGAGTTGGCTCAGTGATTAAAAGCACTTGCTCTTGCAAAGGACCCTGGTTCAATTCCCAGCACCCATGTGGAGGCTCACGCCTTCCTTAGGCACCAGGCATGCATGTGGAGAACAAATGAACATGCAGACAAAGCAAAATAAATACACACAAAAGAAAATAAATCTAAAAAAAAAAAAAAACAACTTAAAAAGAAAACCTTAGAGAAGTCCCCCTGGAAGCCAGGAACCCACTCCCTTGCTCTGTGGACATTTGCGACAGACTTTTCCTGGAGAGGTAAATTGTGTGACACACTTAGTTACTCCAGACGGGAGCCCACGACAGACCACAGTACAATACCACAAGCTCCACGTTGGTAAATCGGTGAGTATTGTAGTTACTTGTAGGAGTATAGGTGAGGGGTTACTTACAGGGGCAGAAATGCCTGCGAGACTGCTGTGTCACCAAAGCCCACCCCAGCATGGGTACCAGCTCTGGAACCGGGCATACTCACAGCCTGCAGGCGGCTCAGTGGGCTGGAGAGCATCCTTTCCAGGCTTGGCTGCTCTAAGGGTGACCCCAGCAGTCTTTGCTGTTTTCTTAGGGAGGCTGGGGCCTAGTGAATCCAGTCAGCTTTAGGGACTTCCTGGGGCAGTTTTGATTGTTTACTGTTTTAAGGTGTTTCCCTGCAGGATGCAAAGAAACTGCTATACAACAACGGGCTCTCCTGCCTGCTCTGGACCAGGCATACTCATGAGCATGGATCAAAACTTCAGGCTTCATCCATGAAAGGGTAATGCATCCACACTTGGCTTTTTTCTTGTGGTGCTGAGGATGAAAGCCTCACTCTAGGAAGTACTCCACAACTGAGCCCCGCCCCCAGCCCCTCACTGGGGAATTCTAGTCTTTCATTCTACTGCTGAGCCAAGCTCCCTGTTCTCGGCTTTTCGAAACAAGGTCTTGCTCTGCACTTGAGGCTGGCCTTGAACTTGAGGTCTTTGTGTCTCAACTTAGAGTGCCTTCATTCTAGATGTGTGCCCGTCATACTCACTGGATAAAGATACGAGATTGGAAGTCTGGAGCTGTAACAAGACCAGACTTGGCCTCCCTGACACCTCAGGTGTGGCTGGAGTCTTTACTGTTCTCACTTCCCTGGCGATCACTGAAGTGCTGTTTGCTGAGACCTAGTGAGGACACTTGCCTGTCATGCACAAAGCCGAGTTGGAGCCCCAGCATGGGTGTGGAAGAGACAAAGCCTGCATGTCTGAGAAAATGGAGAGTTTCTCCGTACTCATCTGATCTTGCCGGGGGAAGGGTATTCGGGAGTGGGTCTTATGTAGCCAAGGCTGGCCTTGGAGTCACTCTGTAGCTGAGAGTGACTTTGAACTCCTCCCCCTCCTTGTGCCTCCTGAGTGGTGAGCTGGAGGGTGACACGCAGGCAGCACTGTTCTGTCCCCAACAGTATACTTCAGCTCAGGCATAGAGGCCCTCAGTCTATTTCCTCTTGTCCCCAACTAGCCTCGACGAAGTGCTGGTTTGACAGGCCACAGCCCTCTGGGGCACAAGGCCAACAGGACCTGGGCCCGCTCCATTCCCAGCCCAAGCTGTGCTTGCTGCATGGCCCTACGGGTAACCATTTGTCTCCACACTCCCACAGCCTCAGTGGCTCCTGCCCCCGCCCCGAACCCTGAGGCAGCGAACCCTTCTTCTCTGTCCCGTTTAGACAGAGGAAAGAAGCGGCGACAGCGAGTCTCCGTGAATTGTCCTCTTTCGGGAGCAGCCCACCGAGCTGAGCCGACTGCGCCTGTTTCACAGGGCTTGTGACGGTGGCTCTCCCTGCCTCGGCTTCAGTCCCTCCTGCTTTACTGCTCTTTCAGGTTCTGCATTTTACTTATCTTACCCACTTCTTCCTAGCTGCCTGCACCATTTTGTATGTGTAGTGTACATAGGTATGCATGGACGTTCATGTGGGCATGTGTGTGTGTGTGTGTGTGTGTTGAGGCTGATGCCAGGTATCTTCCTTGATGACTCTTGACCGTTTTTGAGACAAGGTCTTTGGCTAGGCTGGCTGACCAATGAGCTGTGGGATCCACCTGCCTCCAGTCTAATCTCTAATTAGACTCACGCTGCTGTGTCAAGCTTTCCTGTGGATTCTGGACCCAAACTCAGGTCATCCTGCCCGCGCAGCAAGCACTTTTCCAGCTGAGGCTCCGGGGCCTGGTGGCGTTACTGTGGGAGGCAGGCTATGGAACCCTGGGGGGGGGGGGGGTAGGGCCCGGCTGGCGGAAGTTCCTGGGCACAGCCCTCTGAAGGCTAGTGTCTCACAACTGTCCATTCTTTTGCTTCCTAGGCTGCAGTGAGATGAAAAGCCTTCATCCCCCGTGCTGCTTCTGCCTGGGACTGAGGTCACGGCAACACAGAAGGGAGTATGTACTGCGCTGAGCCGCAGTACAGACGCCGCAAAGGCCAGAAGAGGCTGAGCCGAGGGTGGGGGCAATGTGCCCAAAGCAGGGCTGGATGAGCTCCCTAGGGGATGGAGAGGGATGCAGGACAGGGAAGGGCCATGGGCATCACCTGTGGGGTGAGGTCGAAGTTGCAGAAAGACACCAAGGAGGCCAGCGGAGGCCCCTGAAGACTGCCCTGTGTCCGGCAGCAGGGCGCGGCCAGGCGGCTGCCTCCAAGTGTGCTCAGGGTCCCGCTTGGACATTCACTACCCCTAGCTCTACCTCCAACTCTCAGAGACCACGTGGAAGGGCAAACCTGGACCGCACCCCAAGGGGCCTCAGAGGGCGGCCAGGCTCCGGGCTCCCACACACTCAGCAGTGGCCTCAGTGTGCTTACTCAGGGGGCTCGTCCCTGGGCTGACTGCAGGTGAGGGGTGGGGGGACCTCTGGGCTGCAAACACAGAAAAGACACAAGCTTGACCAAGGCCATGGCTCCTCCCACGGGTGCACAGGTTTGGAAGCAAAGTCTGGCTTTATTCCAGGGACACACACTGCAGCCCCAGGCTGCCAGGGTGCTCGGGGGACTCTGGCATGTACACTGGCTCACGTGTGCTGCCTGCGGTGTCTTAGCGCCTCCGTGGGCGTGAACAGGAAGTCCTCTCCACACACCTGGCAGTGGTAGGGCCTCTGCAGGGCTGTCGTCTTGGGCTTCGGGGCAGGAGCAGCCTCCTCAGACCCTGTGGAGGAAAGGGGTGGCCTCAGCTCCCGCCCAGCCCTGGGGCCTGTGAGCACAGCTGGGGCACACAGTCTCCCCTGTGGTGCACTGTGGCTCTGTGGCCAAAGTGACAGCAGCACGCTAAGGCAGAAGTGGCTGCGCAGTAAAGAAAACACAGCACCCACTGAAGAGAAAAACATGACAGGGAAAGAGCTGGCCCTCTAGGTCCTCCTTCCTCCAACCACACTTCAAGGATAGTGTGTGGGCCCAGCCAGGGCCAGGGGCTTCGGCTGTGGGTCCCCAGATTCCAGCAAGCAGATACAGGAAATAATGTGTGATGGACAGAGGCTACAAACATCATGCTTGGCACAGGACACACACACACTTGCCTGGACCGTCCCTTGGTGCCTCAGGGCAGGTGTTCTCGTGAGCAATGCGCTCCAGGGGTGTGAAGGGCATGTGCAGGCCGCAGTGTGGGCAGGTCCAGAAGGAGCGCAGGCAGTCACTGTACAGGTCGGCGTCACTCTGCGACGGGGCAAAGGGGTCAGGACCCAGGCTTCACCAGGGGTCAGGACCCAGGCTTCACCAGGGGTCAGGACCCAGGCTTCACCAGCTGGGGCCTGCCAGCCCCTTCAGGGCTGCAGCCTAGTCTCTAGCCTAAGTGGGACTGTGGGGGCCGGGTGGGCCTGGAGCTGCCAATACCAATGGCCAGAGCAGGAGGCGTCAGGCAGGAAGTGGCCACACTCACCATGAGGCAGTTGTAGGTGAGAAAATCAGAGACAGCGTAGCCCCCCTTGGTGGGGTGTGGGGTCAGGGTAGAATTTCCAAAGAGGCCGGGCAGACTAGGGGCGGTCGTGATGGTCTGGGGTCCCACGTAGAGATTCTGGGCTTCTAGGCCAGTGAGCCGTCGAAGGCTGTAGGGAACCTACAGAAGGGAGACCAGAGACAGAGCCGGGGTGGGCATCCCCAGAGCCTAGAGCCCTCCCTTGGACTTGGTGGGCATGGAGCTACCCGCCTAAGCCCCTTTCGACTTGCTTTCAGGCCTTTGAGGCCCACTGGCCCCTCCCAAGGCCCTCCCTCTGTACCACCTCTGCACCGTCATGATGGTGAGGTCACAGCCCTTCCTGCAAGAGGTCTTGGGCTTGACCCCCGTTCCACAAGGGCCTGTCCTCACTCCGCTGACGTCAGCCCAGACTCATCCCTCTTCCCGGGCTCCCAAGGAGTGCAGCTGCGGTCCACTCTGCCTACATCACCACATCGGTCCTCACAAGGGACACCTGGGCCCTCACGCTCCACGTGTCCTTAGCTCACACATGCACACAGAAGAGGCACCTATCACCTGCTCAGTGAGTGGCACAGGTGGCCCTGGCAGCATGGCCCCGGAGCCAAATGCTAGTGCCTCCCTTTACCATCCACCGAGCTCGTTGAACTGAAAATCCTCACTTGAACCCCCACTAAGGGACACCCCTTCTGGCCACTAGGTACCTTGGCTGCCATGAAGCGCAGCAGCTCCTGGCTCAAAGCGGCCACCTCCTGGGGGCCAACTGCTGGAGGCTCCACCTCTTCTTCCTGCAATAGCTTCTGTCTCTGGGCCTGGTGGGCCAGCTGCCGGTCCAAGGCACTTTCCCAGTGGGCACGGAGCCGCAGGGACGTGGCCAGGAGCCGGATGGCACTCTCACTGTCTGCGAGCTGCAGCTCCAGCCAACCATCGGCCACCAGGCGGGAGCAGTCCTCGTTAGTGTCCATGGAGCGGCCAAACAGCAGGAGGGACTGAAGAGGGCAGAGGGCAGCTCAGGAAGCCATCTCAGAGAGCCACCTGGCTGTGTTTCTGCCTGAACCCAGCTCCTTGTCTAGTGAGGACACGCACCTGCTCATTCCTCACCAGCCCTTCTCCATGACCATCGCTGCATCCGATGACTGCTCCCACTATTCTATCCCATTTACCTACACGCCACCTGTCCATCTGTGTGCCCACCTGTCTACCCTCCACCTGTCCATCTATTTGCCCACCTGTCTACCCTCCACCTGTCCATCTATGTACCCAACTGTCTACCCATCATCCACCTGTCCATCCGTGTGCCCAACTGTCTACCTCCACCTGTCTATCTGTCCATCCAGCTTCAAGTCTGTCCCCCACCTGTCCACCTGCCTATCCGTTCTCCCATCCATACATCCTCCCATCCTCCTCCTTCCCCCAGCCCCATAAGAGCCCTTGACACATAGGCTTCCAGGACATTATACTCTTTAATTTTGTCCAAGTTGAGTGTTGTGTCTCTAGCATGGTCCCAAAGCATGGCTGAGGAGGCCTGAAGGATTGTTGGATGGTTCTGTTTAGTGGCTGGGGGTCACATGATCAAAGGCAGTAGTAAAATGGTGACGTGTGCTTTAATCCCACTCCTTGGGAGGCTGGTTCAGGAAGATGGAGGCTGCAAAGACCCCAGACACAGGCCCATGAGTCTCTGACACCAAGGCAGGGCCAGAAGCACCCGTGTGGTATTCAGTGGTGATATTTGGGGGCAGTCCCACGTAAGGACAGGGCTGGCCGTGGCTGGTGATGGCACCACCAGGCTTAGCAGGTGATGCCCATTTGAGAATCGCCATCCTAAGCAAGCAGTTTACTCCCTTTAGGGGGTGCAGACTGGGATCCCGGCATCACCTCAAATCACCGCCCCACTGGCATCCCTTTCTCCATAGGACCCAGAAGCCCTGGCTGCATTGTTTCCCATAAGCCCCATCTGGCTGACACGGACCCACAGCAATGGTGGCTGGCATGGGGAAAAGGCCTCAGTGGGGGTGATGGGCCAAGCCTCCTGAGGCCACCCTCCCTGTCTCTTTCCTGTCCCTGGGAACAAAACCAGAGGGGTCTGAATAGTGCAGACATCCAACTGACAGGAGGAGCCGCTGGGATAGGTGGCCCTAGAGTTGTGGTCTGCCACTCCCTCTGTGAGGCCCAGGCAGTGACGTAACCTCAACTTCCTCTGTGGAGAGCGAAACACCTAGGCCACAGAGGCAACACTTTCCTCAGCCTCTTCCTGGACGGGGTTTGGCGTCCCACAGCCACCACAGCACAGCCTACCCCAGCCTCCAGCCGTACACTGTGGCACATGCCTGCCCTGGGGCTTTGGCCCATGCTAAGGACACTCCTCTCAGAACCTACACGGTCCCTTCAGGTGTTGGCTCAGGTCAGACCAGACACTGCCCCCCCCCACACACACATCCTGCTGCTGCTCCTCCCCATCCCTATTTTTCCTGATTTTGCTTTAAAAACACACTTTCAAATAACCCAGCCTGGCTTCAAACTCATGAGCCTCCTACTGGGATTCCAGGCACCTGCACTCCTGGCCACCCTTGAAGCAATGATGGAGGCTCCCAGCATTGTGAGCCCAGGAGGGCGGGAGAGGGCGTGACTGCTCGGCGTGCCAGTGGGTGCTTCGGACAGTGCTAGACACCAAACAGTAACCGTGGACTAGTGCCACACCTGAGAACCGCCTCGGACCGTGCCAGCAGCCAGCCAGGGCGGAAGGTGGCTCCAGGCGAGCGGCCAGTCTGAGTCAGGGCAGAGGCCTACCTGGAGGGCGGGGATGCGGACGCAGTTCACCAGGTATGGCTTGTTGGTCTCCAGCAGGGAGACAAAGGCCAGCAGCTGGTGCTTGCAGCTCATTTGGTCCTTGCCATCTGAAAGGCGACAAAAGAGGCAGCTCAGGCCCGCCTAGCCTCCCCACACCGTGACCACCACCCGTCACTCAGGGCCCGTCATCACACAGTGTAACGATTTCGGCTTATTGTAAACACTCTGCCACAGCCTATGAACTTTGGCTACGGCTTGACACTGAGGGACTGCAGTGTCCTGACCCAAATGGTCCTTGATGTTAAATGACATGAAGTCTGGCATGTGCTTTAAAGTGCTCCAGAAAGGGCTGGTGAGGGTGCTGGCTGCCAAGCCTGACACCCTGAGTTCAGGACCCACGTGGGCCCACAGACTGACCTCTGACCTCCACGTGCATGCCCACAAACACACACACCAAGTAAGTAAATGTGAAAAATACTATTTGTGAAAATAGTCACCGGCAGAGACTAGAAAGGAAAAAGCGAACATGCTGCTCAGACGGGGAGGTAAGGAGTGACAAGGCTGGCAGCAGAGCTGCCTGAGGTCACCCGGGCTCATTAGCACCTTTGTACAAATGGAAATTTTCAAAACTGAGAGAAAGAAGCTGAGGACGTAGCTGGGTAGGGCACTTGTCTCGCTTAGGTGGGGTATGGGTTCAACAGCTAGTACCACAAAAAAACAACAGAAAGGGAGGAAGGAAGTGCGACCGGCAGACAGGCTGCCAACCTGGTCCCCATCACTGTGGTTAACAAAGCTGACTCCTCCCCAGACCCTACCAAGCCTAAGCCAGGTCTGTGTCAGGGGCCACATCTTTCTTCACACCTAAGGAGAGTGAGCTGGCTTCTGAGCTTGCAGTCAGGCTGCAGGGGCCCCAGTAGCTCTGCACAAAAAGCTGGGGAGCCCTCCCTCCTCCCTCCGCCAGCTGAGGCTGGCACCAGGATGGTACCACGGCGGTGGGATCCAGGCAGTGGCCCAGAAGCTCCACACGCCCACAGCCACCCACCAACCACGGCACAGCAGACAGGGTGTGAGAAGGAGCCCTGGGGAGTGCCCGAGTGAGGGCCCAAGCCTCACGTGCTGCCAGGGCCACTGTACCTTGGCTCCCTTCGCAGCCTGGGGCCTCCCGGCCCTGCGTGTGCAGTACCTCAGGGCTGTTGGCGAAGACACAGGTGGGGTGCAGCACGGTGCCCTGCTTGGCCTGGGTGTGGAAAAGCTGCAGGGGCCAGAGGCGAGCTGTGGGACGAGGCCTCAGAGCTGTTCCACGGGTACCCAGTCCCCTCTGCTCTCCCACTGGGCCAACATCCTTCCTCCATGACCTCCCTCAGATACCCCCTCATCCTCTGCCCAAGCTCCAGCTCTGGCCCCCACTGGCTAGTGAGAAGAGCGGTCCAAGGACAAAGCCAAGGACAAAACTCTGTCACACTGAGTTCCCCGAACAAAGCAGGTGACAGGCTCGGGGGGGGGGGGGATGTGAGGTGGCACCCCACCTGGTCCGAGTCCTTGCGGCCACTGTTGAAGGCGTCGGGCACAGCCAGCTGCGGGTAGAGGCCCCGCCCCAACACCAGCTTGAGCAGGGCCAGCTGGTCTCGGGTCAGGTCCTGAGTGGAGCTGGCGGCCGCCTGCAGCTGCTCCAGGTTGTGCCGAAGCTTGAACTTCACATCCTGTGTGGAGGAGTCGGTGGTGGCTCGGGGGTCTCCACCCAGGCCCCCACCTTGCTCTGGAGGGCGCTGTGCTAGGATGCATGGTTAGGAGGGCTATGGAAGTCACCCCGGGGGTGGCCGTGCTCCAAGGCCCTCCATACTTCCAGCGCCGGCTGGCCCACCTGGATGTCCACCCTGTCGGCCTGCTGGGACGCGGCGCCCTCGTGCTCCTCGTCGCTGGAGCAGCCGTCCTCCTGCAGCCGCAGCACCTTACGCCTGCGTCCCCCACTCTCCTCGTGCTGCCGCTTCAGCTGGTGCAGGGCCCTGCGTTCCCGGCGCTGCTGCAGCCGACTGTAGCTGTCCCCAGGGGCCACTGCCTGGGCCCCACTCAGCAACCCATGATCCTCCAGCAGCTCCTGACGACAGGAAGGGCACAGGTGAGTGGTCCCTGTGAGTGAGTGGGCTCATGGGCTGCCATGGGGTATCTCCCCCGAGTCAGTGTTCTCCTCAGCAAAGTGAGGGCACCTGGGTGTCCCCTGCAGCGCTGGGGGAGGTGGAGTCAGCTCTTTGCCCCAGCCTTGAGTAGTTAGCCCAGGAACACCTGGTCAGGCACAGATGGGTCACAGGAGGGTCACGGCAGCTGTTCCCAGAACTGCCCGTAGGCTCATTTGAGGGCTAGAGCAGGCCCAGAAGACTCCTCTCCTAGCTGGGCAGTGCCTGGGAAACTGTCAGGAATGCCAAATCGCAAGCCATGCATGACTATGCACACCTGTAATCCTGAGGCATGAGGACCATGGGTTTGGGGCCAGCCTGGGCTACATAAGGCTCTATGAGAAAAAGAGGGACTGGGAGTTTCCGTTCAGTGATAAGGTACTTAGCTGGCATAAACAAGGCCCTGGGTTCAAGAGCAACTACGGCGGAAACATAGCTCTGGAGGCTGCAGACATGGAGAGGGAAAGACCGAGCCCAACTCTTGGGACCCCAGAAAGGTTTCTCAGCCCCACTGGCATGCCTGTCATTAAGGCCACAGTCTACCCCAGGGTCTCCCGTTGCCCCACTCTCCAGACTGGTGGACCACCCCAAAGCTCAAAGTAACTGAGCTTCCTGTAAGCGACAGAGTCCAAGTTCAAGGGGCAGAGCCTCTGCCTGGTCCCCACTCACCTCCAGTGACCAGTTATGAGCGGTCCACACAGACACCCACGAGCCTGTCGCTCAGCAAGTATGTATATTTGCTCCCTGGGACTCACAAAGCTTGTGAGACGGGCACTACTTTCATCTTCCACCTTCCAGGGGAAGCTAAGGCTCAAGGGGGCAGGGGCCGCCCACAACCATGCTGTCAGGACATGGCCAAGTCAGGACGTGCTGCACAGGTCTCCGGCTCTGGAGACCTGTGTACACATGAGACTTTCTGGGCGCTCAGGCCCTGTCTCCCTGCCCCTGTCACATGCCGACTCACCTCCAGACTGTCCTGTCCCATGCATGTTCCACCCCCAGCACTCAGGCCAGCACCATGGGGTTTTTCCATCACGATACCACACAGCCAGGAACCCTCCTCAAGGTGCAAATTTTTGCTGTCCTGCCCATCTTCTGGAATGGGGATGGAGTAGGCCTGGGCCCCAGGAAGTCTGCTCCTCACCTTGAACTGGCGCCGCACGTTGGCCATCTCGTACAGGCGGTGCTCCTCCACACCCCGGCGGCGGCACCACTTGCGAGAGTTCCCTCTCCGCTCGGACTTCACCTGGTTGGGGGGCAGACACCACGGTCAGGGCCCAGCTGGCTGGAGGAGGAAGCCCCAGGAGAGGCTCTGAAGTGGGGTTGGGCGGGGGCTGCTCTCAGGGACTCATGGCCCCATCGCTGTGCCTCCACAGGAATGCCCGGACAGCTCGCTGGGTCCCTGAGGCCTGACTGAACTGTCACTGTTGGGCGCTCAGGAATGGTGGGCTGGGTTTACACTGTCCCCCGAGGAGGCTGGCTCTTCCCTAGAGAGTTTCTACAGGGCTTTGGCAGTCCCTGGCTTCCTGTTGATCCTAGGCTGGACACTGGCTGTCCCTTGGCCCCAGAGCATGAATAGCAGAAACAAGGGATTCCTTGCAGCTTAGAAAGAGCTGCAAGATCCCCTCTTGGGGCACCCAGCCCCGCCTCACCTGCACCCAGGCATTGAAGATGTTGAAGAGCGTGAAGGGGTCACCCTGGTCGCTCTCCAGCGGCCGTCGGGCTGTGGCACAGTCCAGGCTGCTCTGGGCACTGCGGGTGAACGGTGACTGAATGCTGAGGGCGGCAGCGATGGTGAGCACCGGCTCTGCCAGGCTGAACAGGGAGCCCAGGATCAGCATCTTCCCTGTGGGTGGCAGCGGCAGAGCTAAGCCTCAGGAGAGCGACCTCCCTGCTCTGAAGGGTCTGGGCCCCTGCTCACACTTCTTTTTCCTTGCTCCCTAAGAACCTTGGGAGCCAGATGGACAGCATCAAACCTGCAAGCTGCGCTTTGTAATCATATAGCCTTGGGCAAGAGCCTGTTTCCCTATCTCTCCACTGGAGGTAAGCAGAGCTCCCACCTCCTTAAGCCCACGGGGCCCTGTTTAGTGCTGGACACAACTCTGAGCTGTATTCACAATGGCCTCCACCAGCCCTCGGTGGCTGGATTCTTTATCTCTCTGTGACCACAGCTCTCCTCCCTGCACTCAGCCTGCCCTGGTCTGGCCGGTGCTGCCTGTGCCTGCCTGCAGCCTTCATTTAGTTCAAGGACAAGAAGGAGGGAGGAGCAGGAGTGAAAGGAAGGAGGGCTGAGAGGAAGGTGAAGGCAGCAGGCAAGGGCTGGGGAAACCTCTGTGTCCATACATCCGTGCCCCTCAGAGAGGAGCCGGGAATCCCCGGCTCTGGAGACCTGTGTACACATGAGACTTTCTGGGTGCTCAGGCCCTGTCTCCCTACCCCTGTCACATGCCGACTCACCCTCCCTGCGCTCCTTAGTACCTGTCACACATTGCCCCTCGGCAGAGGCCCTGAGGCTGCAGCTGGCTAGTCAGGGCCCAGGCCTGCAGGGGCCCAGCGCTCCTGGGTCTCCACATCCCTATCTGCACCTGTTTTGTGTCTGTGAAACGACAGAGTCATGGGCTTCTTGGGACTGCCCCAAGACCATCTGCGCTTCACTGCGACACAGAGCCAGCCCGCCGTGTGTGCCTCATGCCCTCTGCTCTGGCCCTGCACATGCTTGCTTTACCACGGCTGTCAAGTGGACCGTGGACTCCACCTCGGGAGAGGATGTGAAGCATAGTTGTAGGGCTCCCCTGAAGGTAGCCACTCCACACCCTGGGGCACACCGGAGGCCCATCCTCATCAGGAGCTGAGGAAGTGGGGTGCGACCTGACGCCCCCAGGGCAAAGCACAGCAGACCCCCCAGGAAAGCTCTCTGGCCCCCAGTTCCGATTCCTATACTTTAGCCCCAACTTCCAAACAGACAAAGCCAGCTGCCTGCTTAGCTGCCACAAGCCCCAGAGACCGTGGCAGCCAGCCTCTTAGGGTTGCTCTGCAGGGATAGGAAAGATGACCTTGGCCACGACTTGGGCAGTGGTGTGTGGGTGGCTCTGTGAGGTGGCAAAATGTGGGCTGTGGTGAGGACATCATGAGTCAGAAGAATTGAGGTACAGGAGTGACTCAGAATGAGCAAGAGGAAGAGAAAGTCTGCTTGACACATCCGATGACAAAACAGGGCAATCAGGACACAGCGGGGCCTGGAAGTAGGTGGGTCTACTGTGGAAAGGAGCTGTGTCTGAGAGCCGTGGGCCCTGCTGCTGACCCTCCTCGGGGATGGGGTGGCAAAAGGCCCATCTTTCCAGCAGTTCTTGCTCAGTCAGGCAGCTCCAACTCGCCCTCAGGCATGCGCACTCCCAATGTTAGCGCCTGCAATGGGATATCTGCCCGAAGAGAGTGTGACTGGCACCGAGTCACGGGTCAGACAGAGCTCCTAGGCCCAAACCCTCAAGGCAAATGTCCCTTCTTGGTAATGGCACTCGCTCACGCAATCTGTTCAGACACCGAAGACCTCAACAGTGTGCAGTTAGTGTGCAGAGTGCACAGGCTCCACTCTAGTGACAGTTTTGGAATTTTGGTTTCTTTAATCTCTTTTCATTTTAATCCCAGGCGTGGGGAAAGGGGCTGCTACAGCAGCTGACTATGATTTGCCTCGAGCTCAAGCAGAGGCCTGATTTTGCCAGCTGCAGACAGTTTCTGTGAGTGTGTACCATTTGGAATTCTGGGGACTTTTCAGACGGTAAGTAAATGCCAGGGCCCCGAGAGGAAAGATGGGTTGCTGGTTGACCGCTGGTTGGCTGCAGGTTTGTTAGTAGTCATGCTCAAAGAAGAAACAAGAAGAAGAGGAAGAGGAAGAAGAGGAAGAGGAGGAGGAATCAGATCCTGGTGGTGAAGATCAAACTTACTCCAAGAAGCCTGACACCCCTAAGCAGCAGGAAGTAGTCTAATGATAATGTCACCCCTTCTCACCCCTGACTTTATTCGGGATCTCTTTCCTTTCCTCTCTATCCTTTTCTCTTATTTAGTGTTGGGGTAGAAAGGGAAGAAGAAAACGAGTGGAAGGAGTGGAAGAAAGAAGAACCCACCAAGCAGCTAAGATTGGCTACCCTCTCCTGGGCCCAAACCTAGTCTTTCTGACTTGCCAGGCAGATCTCTTCATTTTCTGCTCACTCTGCCCCCCAGCTGGACACAGAGTTCTCCTTAAACACTCCAGTCTTTCCCCTAAAGCTTCTTACTGACCCAGCTGGAGACAGCCCTGTCCCTGTCTGCCACAGGCCTCTGCTGATGGCAGAGTACCAGCTTGGCCCACCCGCCGCTGGTCCCCTCCCAGACGGTGCTGCTGTGTCCCCTCAGGAGTCGAACTCTGCTCCCGAGCATGTGTGAGCTCCGTGAGGGTGGGGTGTGGCCCTTCACTGTCCCGCTGGTGTCTGGAATACACCTCCCCAGCGTTTGGTGATGGGTGGGGCTCGCTCTATTTCAGGGCACAGGGCAGCTGCTGGAAGCCAGATAGCGTTTACTACGCCGTTCTGACAGTGGGCCTCCAGCGCAGGGCTCTCAACCTGAGTCACTGCCGCTTTGGGGGCTGAGCAAGCCTCTCCCAGGTGCTGCACATCAGACATCCTGCGTAACAGATATTTGCCCTGATTCCTACCAGTGGGGAAATCAGCGTTCTGAAAGAGCAGGGGAGATCATGTTCCGGTTGGGGTCACCGCAGCTCGAGGAGCTGTGTTAAGGGTCGCAGCACTGAGAGGTTGAAAGCCCTGCTCTAGAGGTACAGACAAAGGCTAGAGGCCCCCAGTTACACGTTTTAGGCTTCTTCACTACATACATTTTGATTGGGTGTTTCAAAGTACTAGGCTGGGGTGGCTGGGTGGAGGACAGGCAGCAGGCTGCGGAGGAGATGTGTCTGGTTCTCAGGCACACATAGTACTTGGCAGCACACGCACATGCCGGGGCTCAACACTGACCTGCAGAGCGGCTGTTCCCTGGTTTTTTTCTCTTTGCCTTCTAAAGGTCCCCTGCTCCCCCTACCTCACTGCCCTCTTCCTCTACCAGCCATACATGGCTTCCTCAATCACACCAGAAGGTTCCCACCACAAGGCCTCTGCACTGGCTATTCCTGAAGACTGGCATGCCTTTCTGCCACATCTGTCCAATATGGCAGCCACTAGCCACACATGGCTACTAAGCGCTTGAGATGTGGCTGATCCAAACATGTGTGCTGGAATAAAAAAATGTACACCGGACTTCCAAGACTGGCATGAGAAACAACACACAGGTCATGATAATTTTACACAGACTACATGTCCTAAGCATGTTTTGGATGTGTCTGTTTAAATAAAATGTATTATTAAAACTGGATACTCCCAGCCAGGCGTGATGGCCCACACCTGTAATCCCAGCACTCAGGAAGGCAGAGGCAGGTGGATCTCTGAGCCCGAGGACAGTCTGATCTACAAAGCAAGTCCAGAGCAGCCAAAGCTACACAGAGAAACCCTATCTGGAAAAAACAAAAACAAACTAATAATAACAATAATAATGGATTCCCCAAACCTTCCTTTGCTGAATCTAAAGTTACACATGCTGCTGTGTAACTGGCTCATCCTGGGAACGGACTGTCCATTCCATGCCCATCACTCACACCCTCATATCCACATGATTGTCAGCCTCCCGTGAGGTGAGAGTGGGGCCCTGTCCATCTCCTGCTTTCCCTGTGCCGCCTGTGCCATCAGGCCCCTCTGCACTCCACTCACATTCCTGGTCTGTCACGTCCACCGTGGCATCCCAGCACAAGGCGCTGGACCCTCATGAGTGTGAGAGTGTATGTCCAGGGGAGGCCCAGCCTTGGCTGTGGTCACTCACAGTGAGCAGGTTGTGAGTGCCACTGGAGCGGGTCCTTACCGATCACAACATCCACAGGCAGCTGGGCCAGCAGGGACCCGATGGGCGTGAGCGCCTCCGAGCTGTCCAGGGCCCCCTGGTCTCGGAGATAAAGGATGGCAGTTTCCAGGCTGGCAGGTGGGGGGGGGCTCAATGAAGGGGAAGGTCCGTGGGTCCCCTACGCTCATACTCTTCATCTGAAATGTGAAGCAAATACCCACGTGAGCTGCTGCGGCATGTGGACGATGGGATATAAAATTCATCAAAATGTCTGTAATGTCCTGGTCTGCCTCCCTCCCAAACCTACGGTGGATGAACTGCAATTCCTCAACCCATTAGAGCAACTGGCTTCCGGTGAGCACTCGACCCCCGGGGACAAGGCACACTGCGGCTGGAGTGCCCTTGACACGCTCTCTGGGTTGGGGAAGCTGGGTGGAAGCCTAGCTCTACCAGTTGAGGTACTGCCTGGACCAGCCTGCCACAGCAGAAGACTCCTTGGATTTCTCCTCAGCTGGGCAGGCCGCCTCTGAGGGGACGGTGACCCACTGTGACAATGTGACTGCGCTTTTCTCGCTTGTAGAATAAAGGCTCCCCAGCCACACTGAGGCCCCGGAGGCGAGCCTGTTCTGGGAGAATATAACGAAATACCGCATCTGCAGGCTCATCTTGGCACACAGAACAAGAACCACTGTGCTGGGCAGATGAAAGGAGGCGTGACAAGACAGTTCCGAGGGCCCACCTGGGCCAGCTGGCCGTCCACCAGGACACCTGCCACCTTACCTTCCACCTTGTTCCCTGATGCTGTCAAAAGCGCATCTAATGAGTAAAGCATGTGTCATCCCAATACGAAAGAGGCTGGGGCAGGAGAACTCTGAGTTCGAGGCTAGCCTGTGCTATAGAACGAGATCCTGCCTCAACACACACATATACACATATGCTCTCTCCCACACACACTCTTTCTCACAGTGCTCTCTCTCATATACACACATTCTCTCTCTCTCTCTCACTGAAAAACTGGAAAAGAACATAAGAGAAAGAAAGAAACCAAAAGTGAAGTGTTTGGCTTTTTACTTTAGATTTCCCACACTGCCAGTGTAGCTTTCCCACAGGCCAGTGCTTTCAAGGTTGTATTTTGAGTTCTAGAGACAGGGTCTCTGTGTAGCCCAGGCTGGCCTCAAATTCTACATCCTCCCAACAGCATCCTAGATGCTGGATTCCAGGCGTGTACCATCACCCCAGGGAACCCCTGTCATTTAACTGGCAGGTGGGGAATCACCAGTGGGTCGGATCTGTTGTCACGGTCAAATTCCCTTTCAGAGCTGACTCAGAACGGAGGATGCCACAGTGTGCGCCTGAGGAGGGCCTGCTTCCGTCCCCACACCTGGGCAGACGGGAAGCAAGGCAGCTGTGGGCAGCTCCTCACTTGCTCTCTCCTTTTTCTTCCGGTCTTGGACAGTGAACAGGGGTCTCACACGAGCTAAACCAGTGTTCTGTGTCTGAGCCAGACTGCCAGCTCTCTCCACCCTTCATCGTAAGACAGATCAGCCGGGCCTCGACTCACTGTGGAACCTGAACCTGACCCTTCCACCTCCGGGGCGCTGGGATGACAGCTGTGGCCACCATGCTGGGCTGCACAGTGCAGAGGACGGAGCCAAACACCGTAAGCGCTCCGCTGAGGTGGAGCCTCAGTCCCGACCCACAGCCATGCACCCGCTGCTGCTCAGCCTGTGTGTGCTGGGATGGCGCCTGACACCCAGTCCTGGCCTTCCTAAAGGGGCCGTGGCAGGCTTTATATCAGGGTCCCACACCTGGCTTGTCTCACTCCAGACCCTCCTCCCACAGAGGGCCCATGAAGAGGAGTGGTGTATGCCCGTCATCCCAGCAATCAGGAGGCAAAGGCACGAGGACGGCTGCAACTCAGAGGCCAACCAAGAGCAGCCGGGTGTAGCGGCACACGCCTTTGATCCCAGCACTCGGAAGGCAGAGGCAGGCAGATCTCTGTGAGTTCTAGGACAGCCAGGGCTACAGAACAGAAAAATCTTGCCTCAAACCACCCCCCCCCCCCCCCACTACACACACAAAGGCAAGCCTGGGCTACATTGCAAGTTCCAGAGGAATACACAGAGATCCACTGAGAGAGAGAAGAACAAGAGAGCTCTGTTAGCCATCCACTACTAGGGTCTCTGTCACAGAAACTAAACCAAAAGCTACACCAATCTGGTGTGGCTGGGTGTGCTGGCTCAGGTCTGTAGTCCCAGCACTCAGGGAGGCAGAAGCAGGCGGATAACTGTGAGTTTAAAGCCAGCCAGATCTACAAAGCAAATCCAGAATAGGCAAGGCTACACAGAGAAACCCTATCTTGGAAAAAAGAAAGAGAGAGGGAGAGACACACACAGAGAGAGAAATCTGGTGTCAAAAGCCACTGAGAGGGCTAGACAGATGGCTCTGTGGTTAAGAGCACTGGCTGCTCTTCAAGAGGACCCGGGGTTAAATTCCTAGCACCCGAATGGCAGCTCACAACTGTCTCTAATCCAACACCTTCACACAGACATACATGCAATACACATAAAATAAAAATAAATATTTTTTTTAAAAGCCACTGAGCTCAGCTTCCAGCCAAAGCCCTGGCTGTGGCCTTGGATCTGAAGCGCAGCTCTCAACCTGAGTGTGTTCTGTTGACAGCCCTGACTGGATCAAAACCCCCGCACACTCCTCCCTGGCAGCCGAGGTCAGGAGGCCTCACCTGAAGCACCAGTGCATCCAAAGCCACCCTTCGGATTTCCGGGACTGGGTACGGAGCGAAGGCATCGTAGTCAGACTCAGCGTAGAGGCGGTAGCAGACACCAGGGCCTGTGCGGCCTGCTCGGCCCTTGCGCTGCTCGGCGCTGGCCTGGCTGATCCAGAACTCCTGCAGCCGCTGCAGCTTGGCTTGCGGGTCGTAGCTCATCTCCTTCACCTTCCCTGGGTAGAGAGAAGGCAGGGGCGGGTGCTGAGGAGGGTACCAACTGTGCACAGCAGCACAGAGAAGTGCCGGACGCCCACTCGGCCCTACACGTGCCCACAAGCCCTGAGGGAACATTCTAGGCCTGGCCCCATGCTCCTGTGCTTTCACTTCCAGAGCGTGGCTATAGCGTGTCTGGCATATGAGCACCCCAACCTTTCAGACGTGGGTCTGGTGGGCGGGGCTTCCAGTCACTGGGTTCCTTTGATGTGAAGGGGACAGCAGAGCTTCACCCTTCGTCTGCCCCGTTTGCTTCCTGGTCCTGAGCAGGCTGTCTTGCTGTCACACACTTACACTTGCTACCACAGGCCCACAGTCTCAGGGGTGGCAGGGACAGAAGCCAGGGTACAATGTCTGCAGGAGCGATGAGGTCAGTTAGGTAGGAGGATGGTGGCCATACACGCCCCTTTTTACCTTTTTTTTCTCTGACCTTTGCTCCTTTGGATGGTCAGTCATGCAACACAAGCTGATTAATTAAGCGCCTACTATGTACAGGCACAGGCACAGGCACAGGCATCAGGGAGACAGCTACAGGCAAGGGCCCTGGTCCCCAGGACCCAGTGCACTGCTGCATGGCCTCCACTGTCTGCCACATTCTGCTGCCTCACAGTCAAGAGCACGCCATGTCTAACTACCGGCATTTAGGCAATGTCTTCCTATGATGGGATGTTTTACCTGCCATGCCACCACTAACTGCTATGGCTCCACGTGCCCGCACACCTAAGACAAGCAGGTCACTCCTCCTTGCAGCCTAAGGCCGCTGCCAGCTGCCATTTCCTTCTCATAAAGGTGTGGGTGGCCAGCCCCCACCGGCTGGCTTGATGTAGCTTGGTGTGCTAGGCTGACTTTCCAGTGAAGGGGCCAGTTGAGGACACAGGAAACAGAGCCTTAGATCGAGAATACAATGCCGGTTCTCCACATACCCCCCCCACAGTGAAAGCAGGGGCAGTTACTAGGTGTGAACACTTGCACGAGCCCTGAAACAGGAGGTGAGAGAGAGCTAGGACAAGGGCATCTAGAAAGACAGACCTCAGCGGGGGCAGCAGTAAGCACAGAGGCCCTGGAGCAGCGTGAGCGAGACTGTCCGGGCACGTGAGGTGTTGCCTGGGCTCCACAGCTCAACACCACCTCCTCCCTACGGTGGTCTAGGGCTCCACGGCCACATCCGTGCCCCTCTCACTGTGCCTGTGGTGGTGCACAGACCCAGAGTGCTGCCCTTACCTGAATCCACTACAAAGCGGATGCCATCAATGGTGACCGAGGTCTCGGCAATGTTGGTAGACAGGATGCACTTCCGCACTCCAGCTGGAGCCACATCGAACACCTGGGGCAAGGGAGGAGGTCACGCCGGGAGCTACCTCAGCCCTGACTGGCCAGCTTCCTCAGTGGCCTCCTGGGTGCCTACCTCACCTCTGCATAGCATTTGAGCTACCCAGGCCCCTTCCTCAGCTTCCTGGCCCTGAGCATCCTAAAAATTCCCTGAACTCCTTCACCCCAAGCCCAAGCCCCTTCCCTGGTCCAGGTCATCCATCTCTACCCTACACCCACAAAGCTACTCCCTGGCCTCCAGGTTCCGTTCTGGAGACACTCCAGCTTAATCTCCCTTGAGCTTTCCCAAGACTCCCTGGGATATTCAGGACAAAGCCCATCTCTCCTGACTGCTTCACACTGTCACCAAGACCCCTTTTGCACCAGCCCTTCTCTTGCTGCTTGGGAACAGCTAAGCATGATGGCTAAGAGCGACAGCCATGGCCACATCCAGCCTGCCACATATGTAAATAAAATTTCAGTGTAAATAAAATTTCACTGGAATTCGGTGAGAAAGCCTATGGCCTACAAACCTGAAAGCATCTCCCTCTGGCCTTTCATAGAAAAATCTGCCGACTTCTGCCTAAGATCCCTGGGGCCAAATATCCTGGGTTACAGGCTACTTGGCCATTTGATGGCCATGTAACCCCGTGAAAGCCCACTGACCTGGGACTGGGGGAGACAACCAGTGCTATACATAGCTGCACTTGCTTCTCCTGGCCTGGAGACTCCCACTGCCTGCTTTGCAGGCTGCGCTCAGTACCTTGTCCTGGTCAGCCACGGAGAGGGCGCTGTGCAGCGGCAGCACTACCCAGCGCTGGGTGAGGCTGGCATAGGCCTGGGCAGCATCCAGCACCGTGCTGATCTCGGCCATGCCACTGAGGAAGACAAGGAGGTCCCCCCGCTCCTCGGGGGGGTACTTATTGTCGATGGCCTCCAGCACTCTCAGGAAAGGCCGTGGGTCCAGCTTCTCCGACTTGGACCCTGTCTGCTCTGCCTCCTGCGGCTGGTACACTACCTGTGAGAGAGCCAGGGAGGGAACACGCTGCCACTCTGGAGCATCAATGGGGCAGGAACTGTGGTCTCGTGGGAAGTGGGGGGGGGGGGGGGGCGGCAGCACAACTGGTTGGCAGGTAACTTTTAGAGGAGATAGTGAAATCAAAAAAGCAGCGAGGTGACTCGAAGGCTTCTGGGTACTGGCGGTGTGTTAAGTGGACAGCACATATGCCCTTAGAGAATGGAACACTGCACAGGGAGAAGAGTTGAGCAGTGAGGGCCCCACCCAGGACTTGTTCGGAAACATCCATCCTGGCCTGCAGCACCACAAACTACCAGCAACAATGAAGTCCTACCCAAACACTTGACCACGCAGACAAGAGCACGGCCTCACTACACAATGGCAACATTTGGGCTGTGCCAACAGGGGGAGGAGAATGCCCCTGGTACATACACAGAGGGAGTGATAGGATTAAAGGTCCCCACCACAGACTATCCAGGCCAAAACGTCAGGCCTGCTGCCTGGGAGCCCTGCCCCACAAGACGGGGGTCCCTGAAGGACCGCGTAGAACGGCTGTCTTCCAGCTGCAAGGGCTAGATTTCCTAAAAGAAAAAATGCCTCCCCTAAAGCAGACCCCAATGGCTTGGGATGTTCAGGGACCAGAGCCTTTAACAAGAGAAGGGGCAGTGGGCGGGGCCTCAAGGGAGGGTGGGGCAGTGCTCACCGAGATGGGGAAGAGCCTCCCGGGCACCTGCACCACAGGAGCATGGCTGAAGTAGCTGGAGAAAAGAGCTATGTTGATGGTGGCCGACATGAGGATGACCTTGAGGTCAGGCCGCTGGGGCAGCAGCCGCCGCAGGACACCCAGCAGGAAGTCATTGTGCAGGTGCCGCTCGTGGACCTCATCCACTATCAGGACCTGGTACTGGGGCAGGCTGGGCTCACGCTGGATCTGGCGTAGGAGCAACCCCACCGTCAGAAACACGATCTTGGTGGCTGCTGAGCGTGTGCTTTCAAAGCGAATCTGGTAGCCAACCTGGGGTGGGAGGAAGGGAAGGCTCAGGTCGGGAGAAAGCAGGAGCCGGGGCACAGGAGCTGCTCCCTGTCCACCGTACAAGCCAGCAAAGCCATGCCTGCAGGTGGAACTGGAGCCCTGTGGGCTTGGGGGGGACTCGAAGTTCTGAGAGGCGCACAAGTTCCCCCAGGCACACAAGGCCACCCTGGAGGCTGGATTTCCTCCCCTGGGTGCACAGCACTGTGTGTGGTTATGCCCATGCAGTGTATGGGTGCAGTTCCTGATATCAAGGTAATGGAAAGTAATCCTAACAGTTATGACTCCCCTCATTCCTCTCATGTGACTCATGTCACCCTTATCCCACCGCCTGACTATCCTGATTCCACATGAGGAGGCAAAGCCATTTATCTCGGTGACAGCGGAAATGACACTGATATCGTAACCCTGACTGTACCGCATCTTCCCCATACACACACCCATAACCCCCCAAACACAAACCCATACCTCACACATACACACCCATACCTCACCCACACACACCCATACGCTCACACCCCACAAAGCCCCCATGCACACCCCACCTCATTCTTGATGAGCCCTGGCTCTAAATGCAGAAGTTCTTAAGAGCACTTTGTCTCCACTCATACACACCTTGGTTTTTTAAGACAGGGTTTCTCTGTGTAGCCCTGGCTGTCCTGGAACTCACTTTGTAGACCAGGCTGGCCTCGAACTCAGAGATCTGCCTGCCTCTGCCTCCCGAGTGCTGGGATTACAGGCGAGTGCCACCACTACCCGGCAGGAGTGCCTTTTCATCTCACAAAAGTAGGCAAAATTCTCAAAACAGTGCACCAACCATAGGAAGAACAATGAGGAGGCAAATGGGAGAAAAGGCTGAAGGGATAGGAATCATAAATGCTGCAACAGCAGAAGCTTTTAAATGGTAGAGACAGGATTAGAACTCTGGAGAGTGCCAGGCGTGGTGGGGCATGTCTTTAATCCCAGCACATGGGGGGCAGAGGCAGGCGGATCTCTGTGAGTTCCGTGTCAGGGTGGTCTACAGAGTGAGACCTGTCTCAAAATGAAGTCCAGGAATTCTGGAGGTTAGAGGAAAGCAACAGGCTAGGGATACAGCCCAGAGACAGGGCAACTATTTGGCCTGATTGAGACCCTACCTCCAACCCTCAGCACTCCCACTAAAAAATAAAACAAAATAAAAAAAAGTGCCTTTCATCAGAACTTTCTATCGGCTTGCTAGGATGAGCATTATGGATGCTTTCATCTGCCTGACTGTTAAGGCCCTACGATGGTTGATGCCAGCTGTCTGTCCTTTGGCCCCTGTACAAGCTGATCTACAGATAGACGTTCTGGCAGAATCGTCTCTGAGTCGGTGCCTAAGTGTTGCCTTTTATGCATACTGCCTTGAGGATTGTCAGCTCACCCCCAGTGTCTCACTGGGACACCTGGGACCCTGGTGTGCCGCTCACCTGGGAGCCATACTGACTGAGGCTCTCGAAGCCAACACGCTTGGCCAGCGAGATACAGGCGATTCTCCGGGGCTGAGTGCATGCCACGTGACTGAAGCCGGCAGCCAGTAAGTACTGGGGCACTTGAGTGGACTTGCCACAGCCTGTGTCACCGGCCACCACCACCACCTGGTGCTCCTTGAGCGTCTGCAGGATGCAGTTCCTGTACTGGGCGATGGGGAGCGCTGCCCGCTCGCGCTGCAGTTTGGCGAGTCGCCCAAAAGCTTGCTTCTGCTGGAAGTCTAGATAGTGCAGCAGGGCGCGGCGGAACTCTGACACTCTCTCGGAGGGCAGCCCCCTGACAGGTCCCTGCCGACCTCGAGGGTCTGGGCCGAGGATGGAAAGGTTGATGCGGTAGCGCGGGTCGTAAGTGCGTGGTAGGTCAGCTAGAGCAGGGACAACATGTTTGGGGTGGCCAGGGTCCTTATCCTCCTTCCGGGAGGTCTTGAGGTGCTGAAATCTCTGCAGACGGTCAAAGAAAGCCCAGAACTTCTGGCAGTCCTCTGAACCACGATGGATATAATCCTCATCACGAAAGAATACATCTTCCAAGAGTCTACGAGTCTCTGGACAATTCCAGTCCCATTTCTCTGGGGCTGCTTCTCCCCTGAGAGGCTGATGGTGGTCTCGGTCTCGGTGGTCCCTCCCTTCCCTTGTCCTAGGAGGAGGCATGGTTTCGTTCACAGTGCTGTCACAAAAGTAGTCCCTGTTCTGATCACTTAGACCAAGTAGCCTCACCTACCCCAACCCCAGACACACACATCTCCAGCAAGCAGGAACTGCTTTCTCTTCAAAGAGTGATCTCCCCTTTCCTTGTACAAGATCACTGTATGTGGCAGCGTGGGTAGCCAGGAGCCCAGAGGAGCTGGCACACCAGGCGCTTCATGGCTCCTGCAGTGACCTCCAGAAGGGACAAGAGTTCATCCTGGACTTCCAGGTCCTGGATGCTTCCAGAAGAAAAGAGATGACATCCATTCACTTTTAGAACATCAGTTAAAAGCCTGCCATTCTTCAAGCACTAGAGTAGTGACTGCTACTACTTGTAGGTCACATGGTCAATCAACAAGAGAGTCCTGTAAGAATGAATAACAGAACTAATGAAAGTGGGGAACAGGCTTTTCACCAGGGGTCCACCAGGCTTCACGACGCTGAATGAAGCCCCTTGAAGCTGAATGCAACGTTTCTATGATGCTGAGGATTGGTTTTCCCTCCCTGGCACATGCCATCCTTTGCATGGTGAGTTTCCTTCAGAGAACAGCCCATCACATCCAAATGACTGATGGTTTTGGGCAAACAGCAAAGGCCTGGCCAGCCATGTTATGCATTCATCCCCTTTAACCAGAGATTGGTCTTAGGAATAGACACATGACCCAATCAGGTTCCTACTCTAGAACTTACACACTTGGTTTCCAGGCAAGAGAAGCCTTCTGGTTTGTTTTTGTTGTTGTTGTTTTAATCTGTTCTAACTAGACAAGTTAGATTAAATCTGAACCCATTCAGAGTAGCTCTGGAGCATGAGTCTTTTCTAGATGTGTACCTTGGACAATACCCTGCATACTCAGAAGATGGCCACTGTGAGAAGGATGTGGGTCTCCCTTCTTCTGATAATATCCCTGTCAGCCTTCCATTTTGTGGCTAGGTAAGAAAATGCCTTCTGTCTCCCTGCGGTACTGAGATGAAATCCAAAGAAGTGAGAATCCTGTCTCGCAGTTGAAAAAAATCATAATAAAGCACATATAGTGATATGTACAATTTCCTGGAAGAAAGTTCATCATTCTTCCTTTAAGATTTATCTCATTTTGTGTGTTTTGCCTGAAAGTATGTATGTGTACATTGATGCCTGATGCCATTGGAGGCCAGAAGAGGGTGTCAGATCCCTTAGAACTGGAGTTACAGGCAGTTTGTAGGTGCTGGGAATTGAACCTGGGTCCCACCAATGGGAGACCAGCCCATGTTCTCAACTACTGAGCCATCTTTCGAGCCCCTCATTCTTCCGTCTTAAAAGGGCTTATCAGGACAGTGAAATGGCTCAGTGAATAATGGCATTTGCTACCAAGATTCAAACTCAGCAAGCAGAATTTGACTCTTGGAACCTATATGGGAGGAAAGATCTGACTCCTTCAAGTTTTCCTGTCTTGTATACAAACACACACACATAATTAAAATGTAATAAGGGAGGGGTCCTTATGATTCTAAGAGGATCATGCTTCCTTGATGAAGAACCTGGAGACAGGCAGACCATCAGGTTTGAATCTGACCATTTACCATGAGCAAATAAATTTATTTAAAGTGGTCTTCATCTATAAAGCAATACCCATTAAATATCAAAACACTGGTAAAGAGGCCAGACAGCAACTCAGGTTCAATGCCTTCTGCTTACAATAAGAGATTCCAATACATGGAAAACAATAGAAGCACAGGGGCATCCAATGGGGGGGGGGGGGGGATTACACAAAAAGGCCACAAATCATCTTCTGATGGCATTAGCAATCTCATCAACTCAGCCTTCAGTCTCTCAAGGGGCCCCATGAAAGAGTCCAGAGGTTTGCTTTCTGCTGTCACAGGGATGGGAGCAGACTCAGTCCCCTCCTGGGAACTGTTAGAGCTACATTTGGGTTTCAAGTGAGGAAAAACCTGTGAAAACAGTGGGGTTGATTTCCATGGACACAGCAGATACTGTGCAACACTCCTGAGTAAACACTGAGGCTGAGTGATGACAAGACTTCGGAACTCCTATTCTAGAAAGGAATGAGGACAAGACCTTGAAACGGTACTAGAAGATGGAGTCAGTGATCCTCAGAAGACAGGGACAGAGTAAAGGAGAGGGTTTCATTTAGGAAGCAAAATGCCTACACATGCTAGGCCAGTATCAGCATCCCGTGGCTACCAAGGAGTCTACACCCTCAAACCGTCATTCGACTGGTGTTTTGTTTGACATGAGGTCTCATGTAGTTAAGGCTGACCTTGAATTCTCTACACAGGTAAGGATGACCTCATCATCCAAGTGCTGGGATTGCACCATCGTGTCCAACTCATTCATTTACTTCAGACACTATGGCTTCTGGACACAAACCTGCCATGCAGCCATACTGGAATGAAACTCAGCCTCAGAAGTGATGGGATTACAGGCATGCACCACCACTGACTTCTCTTGGGCTTTATTACCCAGACCTTCCATTTTCTTTATAAATTTGTCTCCAACAATCCCTCAGTTCTTTGGACTAATTCTAGGCTCATGTTCCTTACTGGGTTTGTTTCTCTCTCTCTCTCTCCACCCGTATACCTCAGTCTCTTTCTCAGTCTAGCTTAGAACTGTATCTTACTTCTTTTTCCTCCCAGATGAAGGTGACAAGCATGGGCCACCCAGGCCTTCAGTCTTCATGCTTGTCCAGCATGTAGTTTACTGGGCAATCTTCCCAACCCCTCTATTTCCTCTCTGTTTTCTGTAATCCAACCCTCTCTTCCTCAGGCCTCCCTTTGACTTTCTCCACTTTCTTCATTTTGTTTCAGCTTTTGTTTTGTTTCTTTGCTTTATTTATTTATTTTTGGAGATAACCCTTTCTACATAGTCTGACATTTAACTCACAATTGTCCTGCTTCAGCCTCCTGTGCTCAGATTCCATTCCTGGTTCCTGGCCCTCCATTTATGTCTACAGTTCTCTACTCAATACTTTTATCTCCAAATGATCTCTCTCCTCTCCCTCTCTTTTGGGGAAAGGAGTGGAGACAGGGTGTCTCTGCGTAAAAGCCCTGGCTGTCCTGGAACTCACTCTGTAGATCAGGCCAGCCTCGAACTCCCAGAGCTCCCCCTGACTCTGCCTCCCAAATGCTGGGATTAAAGGCATGGGCCCCTATGCCGGTTTTTTTTTTTTTTTTATTACTACTAAGGTATTTTTTGTCTATGTAGTCTCAATCATGAACGTACACACATACGTTCACTTTCTCACAACATCAAAAAAATACTATTCCCACTATTTTGCTAAGCTAAATAAGCAGTGCGAGGAATGTGAATTTGGGGTGCCATGTCTTCCTTTCATTGCTTTTCAGCACGACTCTCCACACCTCCAACTTCTAGGGTGCTGTTTCAACTCCATCTTTTCATTAAGTGTGGGTCTCACCACCATCCAGGCTTCCTTATGAGCCTCTCCTGGAGGTACCCCATCACCCCGGGCCCCGTTTTCTCTGTTCCCGGACTCTCGGTCCTTCCATGTCGCCACTTATTTCCGGGATGCTTGGCCCTCTAAGCTTCTCACTCGGAACCGCTCACCCCCAGAGCTCCCTGGGTCCTGGCATATTCCTTCACTACAGAGAGGGTCTCCTAACTCTTCGGCTCGCTCGTCACCGGCCGCAACCTTGCCCCGCAGCAAGCACCCCGGCCACGCGGGCGGCCCGCACGCACGCCCCGCCCCTTACCTCAGAAACAGCCGCGGACGCCCCAACTTCCGGTCCCGAGTCATCTGCGCCTGCGCATCCCCCCCCCCCACGCTGCGCATGCGCAGGTCCCTGAAGCGCGACCTCTCATCTCAGTGCTATGGAGACAATAGGGAGTGGCGGGGGAGCCGATGCCCAGGCTGCGCCTGCGCATAGAGCGCTCAAGGCTCACCATGCTCCAGGCCGTATTTTGCCCTCTAGAGACCAGAGGAGGGGTTACAGGTAAGTCCCTGTCTCTGGCCACGCCCTCTCCACAGCCATTTGCGGGCAAGATTGCTAAAAAGCAAAGGTTTCGGGCCACCAAGGGAGCTCAAGCACTAATACCACAGTCCGGTGGCCGGGCATGGTGATGCACGCCTTAAATCCCAGCACTTGGGAGGCAAAGGAAGGCGGATCTTTGTGAGTTCAAGGCCATCCTGGACTACATAATGAGTTCCAGGTCATTCCAGGTCATACTGTCCCAAAACCAATTAAATTAACAAAACAGTCATGTGGTCACTCTATTAATAACTCACTAATGAGTAATCAGATCTGACCCCAGTCTTCAGCCAGGGGCCGGCTCTGTGCTGGGGGGGGTGTTGTGTCCCCCCAAAGCCGGCTACAGAGCCACACGTGTTGAACTAATGACCAAATGGATAAGAAAAGACTCCAGAGAAAACCACTCAGTACTCCTAAATGAAACCAGTCACTGGAGAACTGAGCCTCAGTTTACCTATTCATAACCTAAGGATAATCCCCTAAGGACCCATCAACCTAATCAGCAGGAAGTAGATAAAAGAGGTCTACAGCCCCTTTCCCAACTAATCTCCTACCAAAGGTTGGGGAAGGGTTGTTGGAAGGGAGGTAAACCATTTGTTTAAGAACCTTAAATAAAGTTGGTGTTTGAAAAATATAAGCCTACACACTAGGAAACTATTAGTCAGGACTCTCCAGAGTAGCAGACCTTATAGAATGAGCTTATCTTTCTATAGTACATGGAAAGGGGATTTAAGGCTGAAGACATGGATCAGAGGTTAAGAGCACTAGCTGCTCCTCCAGAGGTCCTGAGTTCAATTCCCAGCACCCACATGGGATCTCACAACCATATTTAATGGGATCTAATGCCCTCTTCTGGTCTGCATGCATTCATGCAGACAGAATCCTCATATACATAAAATAGATAAATCTTTAAAAAGAAAAAAAGAAAAGGGGATTTAATAGAATGACTTATAGGCTATGGTCCAGCTACTCCAAGAATGACTGGCTATGAACAGAAAGTCCAAGAATTCAGAAGTTGCTCAGTTGATGATGCTGAGTATCTCAGCTGGTCTTCAGTAGATGCTGGAATCCCAAAAATACGTAGACTCTAATGCCAGTGAAGGAATGGACTTTTTGGCAAGGCAAGAGGAAGCAGGCAAAAAGCAAAAGCATTCTCTTCCATGTTCTTGTATAGGCTTCTAGGAGAAGGAGGGGCCCAGATTGAAGGTGTGTCTTCCTCAAGATCCAGATCAAGGCTGGGCAGTGGTGCAGAACACCTTTAATTCTAGCACTCAGGAGGCAGACACAGGCATATCTCTGTGAGTTCGAGGTCAGCCTGGTCTATAGTTTGAGATCTAGGACAGCCAGTGCTACAAAGAGAAACCCTGTCTCAGGAAGGAAAAAAATCTGGTTCAAAGACGTGTGTCTTCCTATCTGAAAGGCAGACTAGAGGTGGATCTATCTACTTCAAGTCAAGCAAAAATTACCTCACAGATGTGCCCTCCACTTCTGGGTTATAGTTCATTCCAGATGTAGTCAAGTTGACAACCAAGAATAGCCATTATAGGAACCAAGATGAGAAAAAGAAGAGCAGAGTGATGGGCCCGGGACAGTAAGAAGTTATGTCAGCTCAGCTGGTAAGACAGTAGAGAAGATGATGTAGATATGGGCAACTGGAAGTGTGACCCCTGAGGTAAAAGAGATGGGAGAGTCATTCTGTTTGGAGCATACAGGTTAGTAATCCCTTATCCAAAAGGCTTGGGACCAGAGCATTTCAGATTTCAGATTTCTATCAGATTTTGGAATATTACCATAGATATGTAAAATGAGATATCTTAGAGATGATACCCAAGCCTAAATACAGAATTCACAAATACAGAATTCGCCATTTCACACGCTGCTGCTCATAGTCTCTTGTCTTAGTTACTCTTCTCTTCCTGTGGTGATATGTCATGACCAGGGCAACTTAAGAAAGAAAGCGTTTAATTGGGGCCTTGCTTACAGTTTCAGAGAGTGAGTCTATGACCATCATGGCAGGGAGCCTGGCAACAGGAGGACAGGCATGGCACTGGAGCAGTAGCTGAGAGCTTACATCTGATCCACAAGCAGGAGGCAGAGAGAAAGAGCACTAACTGGGAGTGGGCTTTGAAACCCCAGATCCCATCCCAGGGACAACAAGGCCATGCCTCCTAATTCTTCCCAAACAGTTCCACCAACTGTAGACCAAATATATGATTCTCCACATATATAGAGATTCAAATATATGAGCCATTCTTGTTTAAACCATCATAAGCCTGAAGGTAACTTTTACACCATAGTTTGAGGGGGCTGTGGGTTTTATTGTCACTTGGTTGGTTTGCTTTCAGTTTAGGTTTGGAGTTTGATTGGAAAGATTTGTTTCTTTTCTATATATGAGTGTGTGCCTGCATATTTATATGTGCACTGTGTGTGTGCAGTGCCCAAGGGGGCCAGAAGAGGGCATTGTATCTCCTGATATGGGAGTAACAGATGGTTGTAAGCCACTTTGTGGATGCTGGGAATTGAACACTGGTTCAATTTGGGAAGAATAGCCAGTGTTCTTCACTGCTGAGCCTTCTCTAGTCTCAGGGTTTGGGGTTTTAAGACAGAGTGGCTGGCTCAGATTCGCTATGTAGCCAAGGATGACCTTGAATTTCTGACCCTCCTGCCTCTGCCTCTTATGTGCTCTGACTATAGGCAAGAATCATCACATCCGCAACCCATTATATGAGATGTGGTGTGGGTGTTTTCATTTGCTCTTCTAGTCAGCATTCAGAAAGTTGTGGGGGCCTGAGGCTGCAGCTCATTTGGTAGAGCATTTGCCTGATATGCATAAGGTTCCAGGCTCCATACCTATCAGTGCACAAATGGGGTGTGGTGGTTGGAAGGAGAATGACTCGTAAACTCTTATATTTGCATGCTTAATCCTCATGTGTTAAACTGCTTGGGAAAGATTAGGGTGTGTGGCCCTGTTGGAGGATGTGTATCAACGAGAGTGGAACTTGAGGTTTCAAAACCCACACCAAGCCCTCTCTCTCTCTCTGTCTATCTATCTAGTCAATCTGTCTGTCTGTCTCTGTCTGCACAGAACAAGATGCACTGATCTCAGCTACTGCTCCAGTGCCATGTCTGTCTTCCTTCTGCCATGATTACGCACTAACCCTTTAAAACTGTAAGTAATTGGTCTGGTGTCTCTTCACAGCAATACATGTAACTAGGACACTGGACATGATGTTTCAGTCCTTGGGAGAATTAGAAACTCGGGGTCATCCTCAGCTGCATATCAAGTTTTAGACCAGCCTGGCCTACATAAGTCTCAAAAAAAAAATTTTTTTTTTTTTTGGATTTTGGAGCATCTTGGATTTTGTTTTTCCACATGACAGGTGTGGAATTGAACTAACTTTTTTTTTAAACAATTTATTTATTTATTATTTATACAGTATGCTGCCTGCATTTGTGCCAGCAGATCAGAAGAGGACACCAGATCTCTCATTATAGATGGTTGTGAGCTACCATGTGGTTGCTGGAAATTGAACTCAGGGCCTCTGGAAGAGCAGACAGTGTTCTTAACCTCTGAGCCATTTCTCCAGCCCCCTGAACTAGCTTTGAACTGTTATACCCGATTTCGAGATCCCAAAAGACAACCACCAGGAGTCAAATCCAAAACACATGAGGATCTTTTTATTACAAGCTGAAGCTTGGGCTCACACACCCTCACCACCAAAGCGGTGAGAGCCAAGAGCCTTGTGCTTAGTTTAGTCAGGTGATTTAAAGAGTCTGATCCCTCCCAGAACACCCAAAGCAGGGGATTCCTGCCTGGCAAGCTTCTATTAGTTGAAACACAAAAGGGATGTTGCATTTTTAATTGATTGGCCATAGGAAGGCCCCCAAACCATTAATGGTCTGGCTTCCCTTCATAGTGGGATGGGCCAGTTTCCTAGCAACTGTATCTCTAGTGGGCAGGAAAGAATGCAGTAAGGCTGGTTCTTCCCCTCGGGGCATCAAAGCTAGTTCTTCCCTGAAGGTGGCTGGACATATCTCCACTTGGCTGGCCTTAGTTCAGGCCTGTGCTGTAAACGTTAAAACAGTAACCACTGATTTTCGAGTCTTTGGCCTCTCAGAACCGCATGCCAAGTACTGTATCTGTGCCTTCTGTCACTGTGATAAAGACACCATAAGCAAAAGCAATGTATGGAAGAGAGAGTTTATTTTGGCTTCTGTTTCAAATAGAGTGTCTACCATAGTCAGGGAGGCATGGAAGCAGGCAGCCAGAGCAGGAAGCCAAGAGATGGAACACACACATATACACATATACACATACACACTTAAAAATTTTAAAGTAAAAAAAAAAAAAATTGGAAAACAACTCATACAGGACCCAGATTAGT